TCTGGGAGTTGAAGTCCACTCATCTTAAAGTGGCCAAGTTTGGACAACACTGCTTTATTGTGTTAGCCACCCAGAGTCACTTTATGGGAGATGGGTGGCCATACAAATGTAATATAAAAATTAAGAACGGGGATTCCCCTCAACCCAACCCAACCCAACCAACCCAACCCAACCCAAGGCCAGCACTTACTTGTTGGACTGGATACTGAGCATCAGAAGGATTACCCCCAAGATGAAGGCCAGGGGGCTCAGGACAAGCAGGGCTGTCCTCCAGCTGAGACCTAAAGAGGAGAACATCACGTGCTCCTTAGCACAGCCCTTTCTTTACTGGCCTCGTTCTTCACCATTAGGACATTTTTATTCTCTCCAGCAAGGTTCTCTCTCGTGTGGGGTCATCAGATGCCACCAAGGACCAGCAGGGCCTGGTTTCCATTTGCCGATCTTATGATGCCCACGCACCCACCCCCCACAGCTGGGTGATGGAAGAAGAAGAAGGAACCACAGTGTGGCACCCTCAGCCCCAGCTTTTTCCCCTCTGAAGACCCACAAGAGCTTCTGCTGGTTGAGGTCTCCTGGGCAAAGTGGCGTGATTTGTGGGTTGTGGCTTAGCATGCTGTAGGAACCCAGGCACTGGCACTGTATTTAATAAGCCAAAATTAAAACAAGGGGTGGCTCCATGCAATGCAGGAATGCAACCAGTCTCTGATCTGGTGAAAGACAGCTTTCCATATTTTTGTATTCACAATGGAAATTGGTGTCAGGTTGGCAGGGGACTCCGGACAAACAAAAGAAAATGTCTTTGTCGTGCGATAAACAGATAGCTTGTGGAACCCACTGCCACAGGATGTCAGGACTGTAAGCTTAGGTGGCTCTGAAAAGGCGTAGATAAGCGCCTCAGAGCCACATGGCATCTCCATTCCAGAAAATTAGATCAGGTAACAGCAAAGATCTGGTGTCTTCCAAACCTCCGAAGCCGTTTGGCTGACCACCTACAAAAGAGGTCTGTGTGCGTCTGAAGCTTTCAGATACACTGCTGCTGAACAGGGAAGTTCTCAGGAAGATCCCTAAGAAAGTATTGGTCCTTTAAAAAAAAAAAAAACTTTCTGTGCCTGCAGCCATCACCACACCTCTCTTACTTTTAGTATCCAGTTTCTTGCCTGGATATGGGGGACCAGTGGCCTTCTCTTGATGTTTTTGATGTGGAGGATACGTTTC